CCATGATGTCTCTTCTTCTCAGGTTTGCTGACTCTTTTCTGTAAACATTTAACATCTACAGAGCTTAGGGACCACTACTTAGTAGAAAAAAATGTTACCAAGTAAATTTGAGCAAAATGCTCTCAGTTCCCTTTGCCTCATTTCTCTAGAAAATAATGCAAGATCAGTGTGAGCTTCTGGAACTGATCAGTCTAAGCTCTGATACACCTCCCCACTGAGGCCAGGCTGAGTTAAGTGCACCCTCCAAGCTCCCAGATTCCTGCACAGTTCTTACTCCTGTACCTGCAGTGCTGTGACTGCTTGCTTTCTGTCTGCCCGGCCTCGCTGGAAGGAGGGGACTGTGATCTCCTCTATTGGCCTCGTATTGCTGAGGGCTGCCAGAGTGCCTGGCACATCGTAGGTACTTAGTAAATGGTAATCAGAAGAATGAACTGATTCTCAGAAGAAGACAGAGGGCAGAGTCTTCCTCCAGCAGAGAATGAACAGTCTTTCAAAGAATGGACAACCGGACTTCAAAGCTGAGTGTGAGTCTCAGTGACACTGAGAGAGACATGGTCTTGCCCCAAGATGAAGAATTATTTGGTAAATAAGGAGGGTTTAAGGCATTTTAGAATCCCACACAATTCTTTGCTCACTTACCCCAACCACTTCCCAATATGCACTGATGACAAGAAGATGAGTAAGAAATTGGAATGGGATGGATCAAACAGGAATGTGGGCCCTAGAAAAACTCGTTTGTATGACTTTGATCAAGTTACCAACCCTCTCTGGGCCTCAGTTTACATCTGTATCATGAAGTGAGTAGGCCAAATGATATATAAGTTTTCTGACAGCATTAACCTTTTATGATTCTAAATGATTCAGAGCCATGTACTGCAATATATTTTCAATCTTCCTCTCCACCTCATCAAAAGAAGAAGAAGAAGAAGAAGAAAAGACTCCTAGCATTGTCAACACTACACTTGGAGAGGAAGAAAAAACTCTAAATTATGGTCACAGGATCAATGAGCTGAAACACAAGATTAAAATGTTTTACATCCACAGAGCAATTTTTCACATTGGTGTCAAACAAAAAGTTCTAGTGGATGTTTACACTAGGACTTGATGAAAAATTCCAGACATACAAGTTCTGGAACTTGAAGTCAGAGAAACTCCTACCTCTGAATAAATTTTACATCTGAAATCTATTGGGTTTTGTTTTTTTTAATTCCTTAAGAAGTATTCATCTTTCAGCAATTACTTATGTTCTCTTATTGAGACTATTACGGTATTGTAAAACTCTGGCTATCCAGAACTGTCATTCCAGGTCCGGCAGATAGCTAAGATTTCAGGTTCCACTACCTCTTAATGATTAAAACTTGTATTTCCTTCACTTCTGAATGTAATGCACTGAAATGTCACTCAGTGCTTTCCTCAATATGAGCACCAGTGACGATAACACAATGTCCTCCGGCCCCGGTGGAACACTCTAAGCCCCGGCCTTTTTTCTTTTGATGGGGCTTCAGGGTCCATCTGAGCTGTCATTTCTCACTGCAGTTACCTCCCTGTCAGCTTGGCCACTTGTAGTCATCTCTCCTTGATAATTTGCTGATAAAAGGGACAAATTTCTTAATTCATTTTTGCATACTCAAGGGTGGCATAGTTCCTGCCTGCTAATTAAGGTGCTTAAAGTTTTTTTTTTTTTTAAACAAGCTTGCTAAAACTTGGGGTGAATAATAAATAGATTCTGAGTAAGGGCTTGAGGGGCTGGTTTAACACACAGACTTGCAATAGTTTCTGTATACTTTCTAATTCTCAACTATATTCCAGCTGGATTAGAGGACCACAGGATTGAGTTCCTGATTTTTCTTTTCATGAGATGAAAAATAACAGTGGTAGGTAAATTAAAAAAACAGACAAAAGGGTTGCATTAACTTTGGTTGATTATATAAAACTTCGTGTTACCCGATGATTTTTCTAGGCACATCTGACCTATTCCAAACAGAAAATGGAGGAATGAACTGGCATTCTTGTATTTTTTAGGGAGTTGCTTGATTGGGCACCTTATCATAGCTACCAGCTATGTGGTTTGGGACAAATTATTTAATCTCTTTTTAGTTTTCTTATCTGAAAATAGTAATGATAAACCTTTCTCACAGGGCTCTTCAAAGAATCAAATAATTCCTTTTAAAGCACTTGCCATAGGTCTGGCCCTTCATAAGCACATGGTTACTTTTATTTTTAGCTCTTCATAGGCACTGCCCCTGGAGTTGGGGCAGTGGTGCCAACCCTGTGCAGGGCCAGGCAACATGGCTGCAAAGACATTTTTCTCCTGTTATTTGCCTGGCAGATACTGTCTACCTCAGTTTTGAGTGTTTTGGAACCAAATGTGGCAGCCTACAGCCTAAATCAAAATAAGCTCTAAGTCGTCCAGGTCTCCTTCATTATAGGAAATGGGCATTTCCACTACACCAGCATTCTAAACAATGGGATTTCAATGTGGGAAATGTTAAGGGATAAAGGAAAGGAAACTTAAAAGAAGAATGGTAATCCAAATCCCAACAATTTATCATAAATGTCACAATCTTTAGCAGCTGGCATCTAGAAATGTAAGACCTTCCCATATTGACACCAATTATTATAGAATTTAAAATATTCACTGTCAAAGGCAAAAATGATAGTCTCAAATATGTATGTAACTACAGTATTGCAAGAAAAATGGATTTTCCTCAAGGAAACACATTAGCTTCTCCTAAATTTAAATGACTAAATTCACAACATCCCAATTTCTTTCCCAGTGTTATTTACCACAACAGAATATACTAACGTTTCTTAAAATAGAGAAATGAAATACTGCAAAATAAATAGGCTTTCAATTAGTATACTTGGCAATCTATAAAGAACCCTTTATCTCTATCTATAAAGAACTAAAATGTGGATGAGAATACAGATAGTGATACTATATCAAACACTCCTTAAAAAGGAAGAATTCTTGCCATACAAAGAAACAGGATGAGATCTTACCTCCACTGCAGCTTAACAAATATCTTTTCCCAATGCTTTTTCATAGTCTTTCTAATTTAACTATCTCCTTCCTGAACCTAGCCAATTTTTTTTTTATTCCTAGTGAAGTTTACCTGCTACTTAATGATATTAAGTAATTCCTCAAATTGTTCCAGACCATTACTATAGACCTTACTTTCCAACATCTTAATTAGCTACATTGTTGACTTCGAATCTTTTCTACATAAGGCATCCTTGACACACAAAAATATTATACTTGCATCTCAACTTCATTAGAAATCATTTTGGGTTTTCAGTAACATGTTTGCACTAAACTTCTAAACTGAAAAGTCATCAGCAATAAACACAATACATTAAGAAAATCTTGAATAGCACTTTTCTAAACTACTGCATCTCTTAAAATACATAAACTGAACCACAGCACTGAGTTTAAATATACTGACATCAATATGAAGAAAACTGTTTTATTTAGGGTTTTAAAAATTTTATCTGAAATTGTTGATTCTTTTTTTTAGCTTCTCTTTACATCCTCACTTTAGTTGCTTTTCACTACGTGGCAATTTATTTACTTAAAAATGTGTATCAACAAAATGATGGGCTGATCATAATCAATTTTTAAAAGATATTAATAACTTTGCAAGATTTATGCCATAATTCTGACATTTGTGGTTCTGTAAACAGAAAAGAGGAAGCGGTAATAGAAATCAAAAATGCCCATTAGGACTGGGGGCACAAGGGCTAAGGGCCCTAAAGCAGTAGCCCTTAGGCCTGAATGAGACAGAGCTTGCTAACAGTTCTTACACTATGGGAATCCCGGAAAAAGTCTTTTAATAAATTCAATCATCACCCTCTAATATAACTTTTTTTTTAAAAAAACTGGAACCTTTCATATACTAAATTTGTAAATATACATATATGTTAAGATCTGCTTAAAAACCATATACAAAAGTAATTTGACTTTTACCCCCAAACTTAGAAATTTATTTTAAGAATTTAAAACTCAACTTTCTATAAACTCAACACTTCAGCTATTCTTCTTGTGTATATCTAATATCCTAGAGAGATGTGCAGGAGAAGAAACAATTATATGACCATATTGACTGCTGACATGTATAAACACCTGTGCTTTGTTATAATATAGATAATGGTGTCAAACAGAATTTAAAGAAATTAAATATTGCTGTTTCCCTATGCTTCGGTGCCTAGCCCTCTGTTATTTCTAGTTTTACTCATTCTTCCTAGGTCATTTTTTTTCCCTTCCATGATTTCAGGTGCACTTACACACTGACATCTCTTGTATAATTATTCCCAGCCACCTGCTCTTTCCTGAACTTCAGACCTGTATGCACAGTTGCCTAGGGGACTTTCTTATGCAGACTGATTCAGTCATTCAGTCAGACATGTTTTGGGCATCTACTCTGTGCCGGGGATTGCTATTAGCACTGGGGATACAGCAGTGAACCTAGCAGACAATAATCTCTGCCCTCACGGAGTTTATGCTCTAGACAGATGATTAGCAAAATGACTAAGGGAAATAAGCTTTACAGAGAAAAATAAGACAAGGAAGGGAAAAGAAACTTGGAGAAGTTACATTTTTTAAAAAGACTGGTTTAGGAAGACCTTACTGAGGAGGAGGTGACTTTTGAGCAGAAAACTGGAAAGGAGGAAGGAAGTGAGCATAGAGCAATCTGGTGGAAAAGCATTCCAGGTGTTGCACAGACACTTCAAAACAAAGAGTCAAAACTGAACTTAACTGTTTTTCTTTGCCAGCCAGCTTCTCTTTCTCTATTTCCTGCCTCTTAATTATGCCATCACCTTGTCCACCATGCAAGAAAAAACATTTTGAGATTTACCCCTAGACTACTCCTTCCATAATTCTGAACAACAGCCTCAAGTCCTTTTGATCCTATCTCCCAAAGCCTCCTCTAGACTTTTCATTCTAATTGCAAGGAATATTGTTACTGACTTTGTATAAGCTGTCGTCATTTTCTTCTTACATTTTTCCAATAAGTATTTTCTTAACTTGCATTCTTGCCTCCAGTCTTGCCTCCTCCAATCCATCCTTGATGCTGCCAGTGATAAAAATTTGAGAAATGCAGTTTATCATGCCATTCTCCTGCTCAAGCTCTTCAGGGTTTCTCATTAAGGTCGAACCCACATTTTTTCTTGTGGCATAGAGGGTCTAATGTGATTAACACACTGCCCTGCTCTCCTCCTCTGCCTCATAATCTCTCCAGGTTTATCATTTTAAGTAAACTTACTGGCTCTAGCTCTATAAAGCTCTACCTAAAGTGACCCCTTACAACACTGTGCCCTCTTATACTTTCTCCAAGTTACTTTTCTAAGTGATTTGTTTACATGTTTCTTTCCTAAATCCAGCTCAGTACTTGGTCCAAGTAGAAACTAAAAAATGAATGGATAAAATTAAATGTACTACCTATAGTGATGGTGTAATATAAATAAGGATGCCCCACATCTAAGTTCTGGCCACAGGCAAAAGCACTTCTGTCTCCTCAAACCCTCAGAAACCCCTTTTCAACATGCAGTTCAATATATTCTGATACTGAACACAAACAGCCAGTTTTAGTTGCTTGGAAAACCATCTGATTTAAAAGCGCAATAGTCTTTTCCCAACAAACAGCTTCTATTTAGGGGAATTCACACAGACACATCATCTATGTACTTTTTTCTAGCAACACAGAGAATTTCAGTTCCAGAAAGCTGGTTTAGGGATTAAAAGAGGAAACTAAAGTTAGTGAAGGAAAACAAGCAGATAAAAGAAAATTAGCTTTCCAGTGGCTACTCCAGTGGCATCCGGGAGGAAAAAGATCCAACTTGTATACTAAGTAATGAAAGTGAAGTCCAGAATCAAGAATCGAGACATAAAATTAGAAAAATATTTAACATATAAATGGGAGACCAGGAAAAGCAAAATGAAACAAATTGCAAACTTATTTATTGAGCCTTGCTAGGGTAGCAATCTTTGCTTACAACTTAATAGTAAATGGAAACTTACAGAACATTGCATTAATTCAAAAGGTATGTTATTGATAGTGTTTCCATTTATTACCAGTCATTCCTTATTAAGGAATAGCAGTTGGAATTAAACTACTGTATATGATTTCCAAAGACCTATGATTCATTTTTTTTTAGAGAATAGTAAAAAATAATTATCTGAATTAATTTTTAATTTTCTGTGCTCCTGTCACTACTTTGATATTTACACCTATGCATTTAGGAAGATTTATACTCTTGATAATGGTACTGGTATAAAATGCAATTTTTAAAAATAGGAGTTCTTAAAGACATTTTAAAAACTTTATAGACCAAAAACTGGCTTTCATTTATAGTTTTATGGATAATTTAACTGAATATTGGCAATTAGCTCTCTTAAAAAATCTTAAAACTCAAATCTTTTTCTCTATGGCTGGCAACCCTAGCCAGAGGCTGACTAGCACAGGGAGCATAAGCTATTGTCCGTGTTTATTAGCTTTTATTATGCACAGCAGTTAACTGGAGATGTTAAAATACAGATGCAATTCTCTAGGTCTAGGGTTGAGCCCTGGATTCTAGTCTCAAACAAGCTCTCAGTGGATGCTGCCAGTCCATGGACCACACTTTTGAATAGCAAGGTGGGAATCAAGGTTCCCAGCCTTGATGCCTGTTGGAATTATGTTAGCTTAAAAAAAACAGCAAAAGCATTTCTAGGGGGTATAAGGTTATTTAGTCCAGGATCCAGTCAGGGTACTGAGTTTTAAAAGCTCCCTGAGGCTAACAGACAGCTAAATTTGAGCCCTAAAATTTATTGGTTAGATTTATTGGAAGGTTTGATTTCCCCTAGTTTCTATTACTGTAGATAACAGAGCTACGGATAGCCAGGACTGCACAGATGGTGAGCAGTAGATGCTGCAAATCTCCAAAGTTTTACTGAAGATATGATGCATTATCATCAGGTTCTAACACTGAGAATCTTAGTGACTTCATCTCCACACTCCTACTAAATTACTTAGTAACATACTTTTAATATCTTAAAGTTAAATGTTCATGAAATTACAATGAAATGATAATCTAAATTCCTTTGATTAGGAAGTAGATATATAAACATTAGTTTTAAAGTATATGGGAGTGTCTATCCCTAATTACTGATTTAAAAAGTTCAGATTAGTTAAAAAGTTTATAAAAACCAATCCCCAAATCTGGCACTTATACCAGGAGAAAGGCCCAGACACAGAAAGACCAAGTAAAAGTTTACCTAGTTTCCTTATTTGAAGCAGGCATCACTGATCTGGAGTTACAAACTGAATTATCCTCTTTCTCATAAGGACTTTCCTAATTATTTTGCTAAGTTGAGTTTTGCAAAAGGTTAAGATGCAATTACATTTCAAAGCCCCCACCCTAACTCCTAGAAATGCACAATAAAAATACCTAAGAAAAATATTTTAATATCTCAGGTATTTGCAGAAATTCCCTAATTATAGTAAAGAGTTGAAGTACAAGTCAACTGCCCCATATTAATGATGTGACCTAACACTTTCTAAACAGGCTTTCTCACCCGTGAAATAGGCTGTAGAGAAAATCCATTAAGACTGTAAAAGTACACACAAATACAAGACATTAAGTATAACTATGATAAGGCAAAAAATAAATACGTAAGTAGTGTGACAGTGCAAAGAACTTGAGTCCAGATTAGAGAACCACTTCCAAGTTTGTCACTAGTTAGCCACATGACAAGCAAATCACATACCTTAGCCTCATCTAAAAAATAAAGACCCCTCAAATGGATTATCTTAAGACTCCTTAGCAGGTCAGAGCTCTATGACCTACAAATAACTGATTAGGTGCTCCTCTAAAGCAAACATGATTAATTCTAGGTTTAACAAGTATTTTAAGAAAAACACATTTTAAACTTGTCTTCGAAAAAGTCTTCTAATTATTTAGCTATCTTTTAAAACAGCAGGTAAATTTAAAAATAAAGAATAAATGGAACGTGGGAGAAACTGGTAGAAAAGGGATCATGAAAAAATCCAGTGTAAGAACATCAGGCAGAATTTAACAAACAATGAGAGCTGAAGATAATGAGATATTAAAAATCTTTTCCTAAGGAATACTACTTCAAAGCATGCAGTATGGGATTTTACGATCTATCCGAAAGTACACTGGCAATCTTGAATTAAACATACAAAATGTTTCTAAGTACTGCAAATAATTCATAATTCCCATATAAAATTATCCCAATAAAGATGGTAATACATGGAAATTATTGGAGATTTCCTTTTATTGTTTAGTTTGAATACAAGTCCTGCCAACCACAAAGCACCTAGTGACCAAATACATGAGAAATCCTTGTAAGAATCACAAAGTGCCACCCACCCTTGCAGCTTTCTGTCACAAAGATGCTGAGAAAATGTAACCCTGACAAGTGAGATACAGGTTATCTCAATTTTAAGTTCCAGTCATTAATCTTCTTCAGAACTGGAATCATCCTCTTGGTCAGAGAGTTCAGGGACAGGGAAACGGAGAATGGCAGCTATTCCAGTCAATTGGCTGAGCTGTTCCCCTGACACATGAAGACTAGAGAATATCCTAACAGTGCCTGCATTCTCTTTCACACTGTCCACCAGCCGCACATACCGGCTCCGTGTGGCTACATCCTGGTGCCTGAAGAGCTCATCGCTGATGAGCAATGTGTCAATTGCCATGGCCTCGTTGGCCTTCTCCACCTGCTTGAGTCCATAAAAAGCTCGGTCAGGTTCATGTTGTAACATTTTATAGAAGTCATCCAAGGCTTTTACTTCCCCAGCGGCTTTAGTGTCTGAAAGGCGGCTAGCTACAGTAGGGTCACAGAGAGCCTCCTTCAGGGAGTACTTGTGTCCAGAGGAGGCATGTACCTAGAATCACAATTATAAAAGTTAGACAAAAGAATCTCTTAGGGCACCCATTAAGCAGCCCACAGTGACCTCAAGTCAAAAGCATCGATAAGGCTTCATTTGTTTAAAGATTTAAAAGAAGCTTACTATATAAATTTGCTAGGTATTTAACAGTTCTCTTTTCATTTCGTTATCTCACTTACAATCCCAGTCAATTTAAAACTTTCGGAGCAGTTTACACAAATCCCTCTGCCCATTCTTAATTATCCCTGGGTAAGACCGTTTTACCTGAAGGAATTTGGACCGGTTTTCCAGGAGCACTTTGTTGTCGGTCTTCACTGCTTGCTGGAACATGTAGTCGCAGAACTGCTCCCTCACAAATCCTGGGCTGGCCACCAGGACGCATTTTACAACATCGAAGTGTATGTGGCGCTGGATAGCCTGGACCACCTGTTCATAGAACCGCTCCAAGGCCCGGTCGTGCTGGGAGCAGTTGCCTTTCCGTTTTCTAGGGATGTTCACTTCCACCTTGGCCCGAGTGAGGGTCATGCTGGGAGTGACTAAGCAGATATGGGCGAGGCCTTCCTGCATGACCACGGCCGCCACATCGGCGCTCCAGGCTGGGTCACAGGCCTGCTCGATGCGCTCCAGAACCACACTGTCCCACTGTTTCTTGGCCAGGGTGAACTGGCGGTTAGGCTCCAGCTCGATGGTGTGATAAGCCCCCATCTTGACATACTCATTCTCTTGGATGTTGGTCCCCTTGACCCGCAGCTGACAGGCTTGAGAGTCGAAGTCGATGGCCTCCACGCAGAGAGTGAGGGTAGTGCGGACCCGGTTGCTCCCTACGCTGCCCGTGGAGGACTCGGTCTGGACTTTGCGGATAGTGGAGGCACGCAAGCTATCGCCCACCTGCACTAGGTTGTAGGTGTGCCACATGTCCTCAGGTTCCTCCGGAACCAGAGTCACCTGGCCCGCGTTGTCCTTCTCGATGTCCTTTCTCACGAGCTTCATGATCTCGGCAGGGGCTCACAGCCAGAACAAGAAGCACAGAGAGGGTCCCCACCGGGAAAGGAATAGGGAGGGGAAAGGAAGTCTAGGCCGGGAAGGGGGCGGGGTCCGGTTCCCACGGGCACTTTCCTGGCGGGAAGGAAACACTCTATACCCGACTCAAGTGGCCAGGGGGAGCACTTACTCTAGCCCTTCCTTTTCGTGGTCTCCGGGCGCGCCGCGCCAAACCGGCGCGAGAGACAACGCAGCGAACACCTTCCACCCCGCGGTTCCAGCCGCCGGCAAGGACCGAAAGGCTGACGCAATGAGGGCGCATGCGCCGCCCGCGTCCGGCCGCGCGGCGCACGTTTTACGACCTCAGGAGGGAGGCGGGGCCGCAGCGTGCGCAGGCGCACTAAGCACTAAGTTTCCAGAAGAAGAAACCGCGTAAAGAAAGTGCACGGAATCCTTAGTAGCGAATTTTATTTTAATGCTCAACGTGGACTTCCTAAGTTTTCTCTTCCACCCCTGTTTGTGAAGAATCTGGGGAGTTCCTGAGTGCAAATACATATTTTTTCACCCGAGTGCAGTTAGTTGCCTCTCTACCCGTTCTCCCTCTGGATAAATCCAATTTCAAAACTGGAAAAAATACTAGAAAAGTAAAAAGAACTCTCAAAGGTGCAGACTTCTCCTCAAGGTCCAACTGTGCTCCGCTTTGCTCCTGCCTTATCCTCACAGAGACGCTACACGCCTATTGGAGCCGGTTTGTCCAGAAGCTGTTTCATAAGAGCGACTGGTGACGCTGGGTCTGGGCTCTGAGCAACGTGCCCAGCTGTTTCTGTGCTTAGTTACCCAAGTCTGCACGGTCTGATTAACCCAAATCTTAGAACACTGATCCCAGAGAGGGAAGAAACCATCTGTGGAATTTACCCCTGGGTGGACCTGACGTCCTGAGAGTTAACAGAATCCAAGGTTGGCAGTCTCAGCTTTGGGCAGCGCGGTAGCCTGTGAAGTGTTTAGGGTGGGGATTGGGTCGCAGTAGTTTAGAAAACAGGATCTTTACTGTCAAAGCTGAGCTGAGAGCTGAGGATAGGGGAATTGGGGAAGAACTAATCTGTGACCGATCCCTACTGAATAGCTACGGAACTGATTTAAAAGAAAATTCTTAAGTCACTTAACATTTTGTGGGGAAGGGGAGACAGGGGAGTTTGAGAAGTGGGGCTTGCCTCTTAAAAGGACCAGTGAATAGAAAAAGGTCACCCAAGTTTTCTTGAGAGTTAAGATGGGTTGGAGGGCAGAGGACACAAATCTCATTCTTCTTCCTGTCTTCCTCTCTATGGCACTGAAGGGGAAGTTTACCACCCCGAACTAGTGGAGACAGGGATGAAAGGGAGCAATCTGACTTTGGCACAAGTCTTGATACTCGTCTCAGTTAACTTCCTCAGAGATTGTCAGGGGACACAAAGTTCTCCTCCATAGCTCTAGAGCAAATTAAAACTGTTATTTTTTGGCCTCGCCTCTTCGCCCCTCCGCTTCTGTACCTCCTTCCTCCCTTTTTCCTTCCCCACTTTCCTATCATACTGGGGAACTCACAAAGTTCCTAACTTAGACCCCCTTCTTCTATTTCCAGGAGAACCTGACAACTTTTCACTGAGCAAGGAACTGATCACACTAAAGTGTGAGTATGGCTTATGTCTCCAAAGGATGTGTATCTTTTTAAAAGGTGCTTGTTAACCTAGAAGAATTCTTAATTGGTAGAGGGAGGGAGGGTGTGTGTGTGTGTGTGTGTGTGTGTGTGTGTGTGTGTGACAGAGACAGAGACAGAGACAGAGACAGACAGACAGACAGGAGGCAGTGCTTTGAGGTACTCTTTGATCACCTTTGTATGTACAGTATCACAGAATCACAGTGATAGGCACACAGTAGGATCTTAATAAATGTTAGGCTTTTATTCAAGAGCTATATTTATTGAATATTCACCAGGTACTTTCCTATGCTTTCTCATCCTTGCCTATAAGTTAAATATTTGTTATCCCCATTTTATAGATGAAAAAATGAATTATAGTGAAGTTAAGAAGTGTATTCAAGATCATATGACTAGCATTCAAATTCAGGCCTCCTTAACTCCACACTTGCTCTTTCCACTAACACAATTCTATATTATGGATGCTTGAAATCTCTGCAACCTTAGAAATTATGTGCTGTTACTCACTGCTGTTTCCTCTTAACTTTCACGTTAGGAAAGGCTCACAGTTTAGGAACCAACCTAGAGGATTTGAAAGGAAGGGTCCCTTGCTCTTTTATTACTTAAAAAAAAATCCTTACATTATTTTTAACATAGTTTTACTTCCACTCAGAGCCTGGGTCACCATTATAATTTGAGAAAGATCTAATATTCTACTTTAGAAAAATACACATATATTTTTACATTGAAAACCTATGGGAAATCCATATTGACTGTTGAATTTGTGGTTCTTTTTTCTTTTTTATATGAGGCAAACTGCTTTGGGCTGCTTTTTAAATACGAATGTCCTTCAGTGATTGAACATACTATAAAATTTTTCACAGAATTACAATTTGATCTGAAACACCTGTAACAGAATTTTTTTTTTTAGTAACTTGAGCTTCTTGTTGAATGAGCAGGTGTTTTTCTCCCAGACTTTGTGTTATAACTTAGTCTTTCTAGACCAGCCATTACACTTTTGAGTATTTGGGGTTCTCATTCCCTGTTAGCCAAAATTCAAATTCCCTGGCGTTCAGGGCTTCCATGACATGGCTTTACAAGCTTTATTTCCTAGATACCCGCCCCCAACAGCTGCCTGTATTCCCCTGTGAGGGGAGTCTTTGTTCCCCATAAGTTTTGGCAACTTTCTTCTTTGCTGCCTTAGCTCATCCTGTTCTCTCTTTCTAAAATGTCACTTTCTCTCACTCAAGTTTCTGTAAATCCTACTTATCTTTAAGGACGAACGAAAATGTTATCTCACATTTGAAGCCATGCATTATATTAATTGGAGTACATATCTTTTCTTTCTTATTGAACTCTGGATGGATTCATCCTTGTATCCCTGTCCCATGAAAAGTCCTTTGCACCTACCAGACAGTCATTTATGAATGATAAGCTGAGTGGATCACATGTGAAATGTTGGCAACTATGTTTAATATTATTACAGATACTTCTTAAGACACTGATATTGTTATTAACTGTAGTTCACCTGACATACAAAGTAATTCCTCTTATTTTCAAACTTCTTTGGATATAGTAGTGATTTGATACATAACAGTATAAGGTATTTTCAGTCTTTACTGAAATAAGCAAAATCATGAGGAAAAAACGCCACTATTTAGCTATGTTGTTGTAAATTCTACTTTCATATTTATTTATTGGCTCTTTGAAGGCAGAAGCCTTTATATCAGTAACTTTAATTATATCTACTTTTCCTATAATCTTTTATTTATATTTATCTCACCAGAAGAAAAAAAAGTCAGTGTTGTTCCTCCAAAAGTTTCCATTTTGTTGTTTTGATATACTTCTAGTGTCTGAAAAAGAGAATTGGACTAGAAGTCAAGTATCCTGGATTGTAATTCTTACCCTGTCAACTATTTTTCACTGTAATTTTTGGCACCACTCAGTCTCTTTGAAACTCAGTTTCTTTTACTTAAGAATTGAGGAAATTGAATTCAGTAGTTAAAATTGTTTTAATTGTGAGAATTACGCTGCAACAGTATTTTAAAAAAATTAAACAATACCATAATCTCACCCTGACACATTCATTTTCAGTTTTGAATTCAATTCTTCCTAAAGGCCCATTTTAATTTTAATGGTAAAGGATTAATAACTAAGTTTAATGCTTGCATGCCATGAGTCAGCCGACTTGAGTTACGGTCTTTTCTAGCTAGATTTTAGCAACTTCAGATAAGTCCCCTAACTTCTATAAACCTGACCTTTTTCATTCTTTCATTCTTTTTTATTCTAAATTGTCAATAAGATTATTTGTCTGCCTGTCTCATTTGGAGATTATACTTCACAAATTGTAGAACTCTCTAAACATACAAGGTACTATTATAAATCTCTAAGAATGCCTGGATTGAAGTTAGAGATCTGGATCAGACAGAGGAAGGGGCAAGGGCTCACTTTAACATGATCATAATTATTCAGCCTTGGAAAAATAACGAGTTCAGTAGAGTTGACTGATAGATGATCTGTTGGGTGCATTTATTTATACTGGTACCTCCTTTCCAGAGAAACCTTAGGTTAGTCCTGCTACATGAAGTGGGGTGTGTGCCTCATGGTGAACTGGATTACAATCTTTCTTCCTGTTATAATAATATGTTAGAAATGGTTTGTGTGACAGCAGCAGGGATTATGAGCTCCCTTGTTTGAATATCCTGTGCTTAGCACAGTGACCCTTAAATAGTAGGGGCTGTGTAAATTTTCTTGTATTCGTCTTGTATTTTTTGCAGACTTACTTTCCAACATCACAAACATACTCTTTTCCTTTCTCTGCTTAGGGGGCTTCTTGAATCATTGCTTCTTTGCTTGTCTATTGCCTCTTTCAGACTCTGCGCTTCTTAAGGGCAGACGTTACCTTTTATTTGTCTTTGTGTTCCTGGAACACAGCACAATGACTGGTACCTAATTGTGATTATATGAAAGAGTGAGTGGTCATTAGTTCTCCTCTAATTGAAAGTTTTTGACTCATCTATTTCTGACACCTTTTTTATTTTTAACTTTTAAAATTGAAGTATGGTTGATTTACAATGTTGTGTTAGTTTCTGGTGTACCGAAAAGTGATTCAGCTATATATATATAAATAAATAAATAAACACACACACACACACACACACACACACACGTATGTATTTTTTCCAGAGTCTTTTCCATTACAGGCTATTACAAGATATTGAATATAGTTCCCTGTGCTATACAGTAGGACCTTGTTATTTATCTGTTTTATATATAGTATTTTGTATCTGCTAATCCCAAACTCCTAATTTATTACTTCCTCCCCTTTCCCCTTTGGTAACCATAAGTTTGTTTTCCATGTCTGTCTCACTGACATCTTAAAATGAGGAAATCACATTCTGTTTTATAATGTTACTAATGATTTAAAAAGAAGATTACTCTTAAGGTAAGTTTTTATAAACCTATTTTAGTTTTTTGAGATACCCATGTGTGGATAAGAAAATGATTATTTTTTAAACACATGTTTATGAGGAAAGATCTTTATAATGTTTTAAAATAATGTATAATAACAATTAGTTTTATTATGCATGTATGGAGAATGATCTTTATTATAAAATGAATAGCCAGAGCTCTGATTATGAATATCTAGTGGTAAATGCAATAGTTTATTTAGAGAGAATGGTGCTAATCTCAGATTGTACAAAAATGCTGTGACCAACACAAGCAAAGCTAGTGGACCACAGGGAGGATTATTCAGCTAATTCAGGCAGAAGGGGAAAGAGAAAGTTTTTGTTGTTGTTGTTGTTGTTTTTTTTAAAGGAAATTGCTGTACTCACTTGCTTACTATCTAAATTTCCTGTGATTAAAAATACTTACTTGCAGTTCTCACAAAACAATACAAAACCTCATACTAGATAAACAAAATCTTATCAACAAAAGTGTGTGCATTCCTGTTGTATCTATCTCCATACAGTACGGGATCATTTTGCCAAAAATATTACAATAAAATGTATAATTTTAAGGTCTGGTCAATACCCATGTATTTTCAAATTGTAGTATTTGGCATACTAAAAAGTATATAGTTAATAAAGTAATTTTGAAAAATACATTGTAATTTATATTGAGTATAGGATTTATGATAAAATGTGCAGACCATTCTTCTTAATCATTTGATGTTCTAATGTGATTTACGTGTCCTATTCAAATTTAAGAATTTGCATTTATTTCAGCAGATCTCAGATAATTCATACAAAAAAAGCATTTACTTTCACTCCTTTTAATATCTGAATTACAATTATTTTTAATTCAGATTTCTAACTTACTTTGTATATAGAGTTCTACTGTTTGGATAAAATGATGTTAATGTTTTTGCACATGAAGTGAATTTTTAACATCAACCAGTGCATATATTTTAATCTCCTTTTAAGACTTAGTTGACTTTTTAATCTTCCCTTTTAATTACAGAAGACATTAGATACAAATTAGGTCCCTTCAAATATACATAGCCCTAGCACTAACCACCAGTATGACAGAATGTTAGAGCTTGTTAAAACTGGAGTTGATCCTGTGAACTAGAACATTTTTTGATTACTTGATTGTCACCTTTCTCCTGAAGCTTCCATTTAAAGGTAGAGTATTCTGAGAAAGCTCTGCTCTTGGGATCTGGTAAGGCTGCTGGTGCCAGGGGAGCAGTTATCCCCTGAATCAGATATAAACTTGGCTCTGGAAGAGAACTAGCGGGAAATGTTCATATCTTTGTTTCCAGAAGGAGTGTACTTGAAATCTTATGATGCAAAGAATACAAAGAAATGTGATAGAAAATTGCATGTAGGTATTTATTATAATTTTAAGATGTATATTTTCATCTCTTGAAACTAGGAGGCATCTAACAGTTTAGCAATTATAATTGGTTTGGCAGTACTTTTCTTTCTTAATAGTACATAAAATAATAGGACATTCAGCTGATGGTCTCTTTCATTCAGTTAGATATACATATGAGTAGATAGAAATATTCTAGGTAGGGATATAATTAAAAGAGGCAATCTGACCCCTTAGGTATTTTATGAGTTTGTCTGTAGTCTGTTCTTTCATGATTCATTCAGTAACAAATTTTCAAGGACCTATTATTGTTAGATGGCAAGGGTAATAAACAGTCAGAGACCCTACTCTCACAGCATACAGCAAGCTGGAAAGACAGACAATTAGATGCTTAATTTTAATGTGTAGGATGTTACAGAAGCGAAAGTGCTATAGGCATACATGTCTGTGGGGGAGGGGGTCTAATCTACGCCAGTGAGTTCTTGGAAATGACATTCATATGGGGACTTGAGCATCAGTAGCAGTGTAACTGCTTATGCAAAGGCCCGGAGACTTCAGAGGAGCTGGCACAAGAGAAGAGCTGAAAGAAGCTTAGTCACCATGAGGACAGGAATATACTCAGCTCATTTATATCAGTTGATACTTTACTTGCTTTGAGAGCGAATACAATTCTCCAGTCACAGACCACTCTGAATATTCTGACTTCAACATTGTGGCAGCAGTTCCAAATATCTTTCATCTCAACTTCTTAACATGAATTCAGATACACTATTGTGTACATCATACAACAGAAGAACAGTGTAGATAAAGAATAGCCATTTTGATGCCTGCTTTTCTGAATATATTTTGAACATGAGCTCCTTTATTTTATGAAATACTTAAGGGGCGTATTAAAATTCAGCAAGTTCTGAATCTGATGGGAAGTTTGTAGGATTGAGTTGTTGGAACATAGGCAGAAGAGCATCCATCTAATGAAGTAAGATCAACAGTTAAAAGTTGTGGCCCAAGAGCTCATGCATCAAAATAGCATTATGACAGCAGAGAAGAAAAATAGGCAAACTAGTTTGGCATTTATATTTTATCGCTACTGTCATTGCCTATTTACTAAACAAACAAACAAAACTCCTATGAATTTATTGCTGCCTTTATAGACATCATAATGAATAAATATTTTCACTATCTTTAGTAGTTCCTATCAATCTATTCTGTGCCATTGGAGGTCATTTCTTTGTTATGGTAAGTGGCTGACTTCCTTCCATATTCAGCCATCGCCTCACTGGACTTCTTTTAGAAGAGGAAATCTTGCCTATTGAAAAAAAAAATCACAAAAGGAGACTTCTGCTTGTAGGCTAACTAAAATGTTTCTAGGGAGGAGAGACATCTAACTTGATTAGGGGTAATTCTATACTTAATAACCAGAGATAGTAGTCTTGTTTGAGTTATAATTAATGTAGGGAGGGACATCATCTAATTTCATGTATATCTAAAAGTCATGAAAATAACACACTCACTTCATCATAAATTATATCCTTATCAAAGTCTTTTAAACAATTATGCTTGGATTTAACATTTTGAGGGTTGAGTAAGAGGGAAATGGGCTTACATTTAGACAGCTTATATGTATTATTATTTCAGAGCATGAGAGATTTGAATTGAATACAGGCTTTGCCATTTACTAATTGTGTGGCTTTGGACAAATGAGCCTCTTAGGATTTTGGTTTCTTCATCTCTAAAATATGGATAATAGTTCCAGAAGTTTCCTTTTTTAAAGATCAAAATGTAATATATGCAAAGTTCTTGGCACAGGTCCTCATACATAATACGTTCTCAAAAAAATATGTGCCTTTCAGCAATAAGTTGTGCTAGTTTTTCTCTGTTACTGTTTGTCTTGACCTTTGTCCCCTGGGAGTTTGAATTCTGCCATTTGAACTTGGCCAGTGGACGGCTGGGCAAGGCATTAGCCTGTAGGAGGAAAAGGAGGGGTATTCATTTCTCCTGCTTTCTCCCTGCTGGGCTTCAACTTTGGCACTCACTGCATTCCTCGTCCTATGGCCACAGCTCCTGTCCAATGGCTCTCCTCCCATAGCCAGAGTTCACAGTCAAGCTGACACTGCTACCTTCTCAGGCCTGGAAATGATAATGGCTTTTTCCCTCATTGTTGCTGCAGGTGCTTTCTTCCTACTATTGCTTGTTCTAGGTGCGCCACCATCTTTTGTCAATTCCTTTAAACGCTTCTGCAAACAGCCCCTTTATAGAGCTTTCTTCAGTTAAATCCTTTATTTGTGCCACTAGTTTTTTTTGCTGGTACTTTATTTGGACATGGAGAAGGGCATCTTTCTTGATGAATCCTTCTTAAATATTGGGGAGAGGTAATACAAGACAGTTCTGAATATAATGGGAAGTTTACCAGGATGGTTTATGAGTAGGTGGTTGTTGTGATGTAAACCCAGCTTTGAAGACTGGAATGAGTTTGTTTAGATGGCACAGGGTAGTAAGAAAGAAAGGTGCAGTGCTTTTCTAGAAGCACAAAACAAGATCATATGCACAGTAGCAAAATGAACATGAGGAGTATGGGGAATTAAGGAAATGTGACTGTCTATCATGGGCTATTCATGTTTAGAGGCAGAAATAATGGGCTTTCAAATAGGTTCATGTCCTAATCCCTAGAATCTATGGCAAAAGGGACTTGGCAGATTAGATTAAATTAAGAATCTTGAGATGGGGAAATTACACTAGGTAAACCCAGCATAATTAGGATTTTTTTATAGGAAGACAGAATTAGGGTCAGAGTCAGAGAAGAAGATGTGATGATAAGGCAGAATCACAGGGAAAAATTTGAAGGTGCTACTTTGCTGCTTCTGAAGATGGGGGATGGAGCTGCAAGCCAAGGAATGCAGGTGGCCTCTAGAAGCTGGAAAAAGCAAGGAAACTGATTCTCCCTTAGAGCCTCCAGAAGAAATGTCTCCTCACTAATGTCTTGATTTTAAGTAAATCAAGTAAGACTTCTAAAATATTTAACCGTAAGATAGTAAGTTTCTCTTGTTTTAAGCCAGTAAATCTGGCAGTGTCAGTTTGTTACAACAGCAGTAAGAAGGTAATACAGGGGTAGTAGGAAATACAAGGAGCTGGATTAAGGCAGACCCTGAAAGGTCAGCTGAGAATTTTTGGATTTTATCTGAAAGACAGCAAAGAACCACCAAAGGTTGTGACTAAAGACTAAGATATAATGAAAATTACATTTTAGGAAGATGGATTAAAGGTTAGGTTCAGACTGAAGACAAGAAGAGCAGCTCTACAGTAGTGTGCATGGGTGGGTATGGTGATGAGACCCCAGATTTGTTGGGGACTTAAGGAAGCTGACAACATGATGATTGAAAGGGTAACCAGTGATGGAAAGGAAGAAGTCAGATTTCATGTCCTCATGTGGTAAAATGGGCATAAATATAGCACATATGATTCTGAGATAATAACTTGTTAAATTATAAATTTCAATATGATTAAACAGTACATGTGTACAGATATAAGTAAAAGTATATACACACACAAAAGAGAATTAAATACAACTTAGAAATATATATGCATTATTTTCCTTTAAGTCCCTTCCTGGATTCAGCAAGGTTTATTACCCCCAACAGTTGCAGAAAACCCACAGTATGCAACTTGTGGCTGTTTTAGATATGGGAAAAAAAAAGAGTAGCTGAACTTAAAAAAAATGTATATATATGTGTGTGTATCTGAAATTGTAATTTGTTTACCTCTATCTTTTCAAGTTTCATTCTTCTCTTTTTAGAGCATATACAAACCTCATCTGATCATTTCTACGTTAGTGACTGCTTATTTGGTAAAAATGAAAAAAGTACAACTTGAGTAGTTAGTAAACCATTCATATTTTGCACAACAACAACAAAAATATAAACAACCTAAAAAATTTGATTTGGAGAGGAGTCATAGTTCAAATATGTGTAAAGGGTAGTGATAGTGGCTGAGAAGTTCAAGTATTCACTGGCTGTAAAGCTGTTCAGAAGTTGCCACTGTTTGGATTATTGGACATTTCCTGAGTAGTAGAAAATATTTATATGAAAAGCAAATAGCTCATTAACTCTCTTTACACCACATCGCTTTGGGAAAAAAAACTTTGCTTCCTAATAACCCATTTCTAAGAGATCTTAATGAAAGTTAGCAATGCTTGGTCATCTAAGCCAGGCTAAACTGGCAGAATCACCCTTGTTTTTAATGGTAAAATGCTAAATTAACTGGTACTAAAAAGCATGCCAGCAGTAAAGACACTGAATGACTGAATATTGATGATATGCTAAAGCCAATCATTAATTAAACTGTTACTCTTTCACACAAAGTTTCACCCCATCTGTCTTCTCTTTCTTTCACCCTTGCAACTTCCCCACCTCAGTCAGTAACTGGTGTAAAAAAAAAAAAATCTTGAGCAGGGGTTAATCATTTGAAAAACTCTTAGAAAAATGTTATGATTCAACATTTTTTTTCTAAGTTGGATATAACTTTGCATCTTCATGTGTTTTTTAAGTCCCTCCTTAAAAAATGCCTATTTACACACAAGTAACAATTCTGTATTTTGCATTTTAAAAATTAGTCTCCTCTGTGATATTTACAAAGTAAGTGTTCGCTATTCTTCAGTTTCAAAATGTTCCTCCTCCTCTGTGCTAACATAGAAACATCATTTCGGGACAAGTGGAAATTCTGCATTGCATTCTTCCCTTTCCTCGTTCTGTAGCAGAAAATACTTTGAAAGTGAATAATGCCTACTCTTAAGCAACCTGAAAGTAGGAACTTTGCTTATAAATCAGGTTACTTCCATAAATAAATAAATAAGTAAATAAATAAATAAATAAATAAATAAATAAATAAATAAATAAATGGAAGGAAAAGCCATCCCAAAGTCCTAAAAATACTATATATTGCCAAAACAACTTTAATTTGAAAAGTCAATTCCGCCTTGTAAAGTTTTCGGCACTGCTGCCGCCTGCCATTGGGGTGGAGAGTTTGAAACGGCATGGAAAGTAATTCATATCAAAACCCAAACGCGGAAACTGCTTTCTGTCCTCCCACCTGCCCAGACTACCTGGAGCGCCCGAAATTGGGTCAGCGCTCCCGTCTCCCCTCTGGGCCGCTGCTCCGCGTGCCTCCCTCCCCACTTAAACCCTCGAGCCCCGCGCGCAGGAGATGCTCAGAGAAAAGCAGGGTCGCTCACCGGTGAGGAGCCAGCAGCAGGCGACAGCGACCCCTGGGCTGGCGCGGCGTCGGGGGGCCATGGCCGGAGCGGCCGGAGCGGCCGCAGCGCCCGAGGGACGCGCTGGATCGGAGGGAAGGACTCGGCAAAACCAAGCGCGGATCCGCGTAGCTCTGGGCCACTGCGACCTCCGCGAGTCTCCGTCGCCGGCCCGTCCGCCGCGGCGCCCGGGAGCTGCAGCAGAGTGATTTCCTGTGTTTTCGACCAGTGCCTCTAGGTTCGCTCCACAGTTTTCACATCCCAGACCGATTGCCACATCGCCCTACCCTTCGCGCTCTCGGGCTCTGAAATCTCACTGGCAGCCTCCCAGGCTCTGTCCGAGACATGGACAAATAAAGCCAGCTTCGCGGGTCCTTGTTTAGGCTAAAGTCCACGGGCTGCGAAGCAAACCTTAAAGGGACATCTGCCTTTCATTGCGAGGGTGATCCCGGCCGTCCGTGCCAATCCCTAAGGTAGTAGGAAGGCGGGCGCGGGCTGGACTTTAGAGAGAGCGCCGCCAGTGCAGTGGCCCCGCCTTCGCACCCCTCGCTTCTCCCCAGGTCTGTGCGAGGAGGGCGCTTTCAAAGTGCCGGGCTCCTCGGCCCTTGAGGGGAGGCTGCTCTCCCGCGGTCCTGTTGCGCAGTAAGGAGCAGTCCGTCTGTCAGAGTGAGCAGGTCTGGTACCCTCCGTCCGTCTCCTGGGGACACTGAACTTGTCCGTCCAGTTTTCTCGCCCTAAAAGGGGGGTGGGAGCGCCCACCCCGACACGCCCCGCTGAGGGCTTGGCTTTCGCTTTTCGGAGGTTTGCTCCCTTTATGGTGGTTCGCGGTCAAAGGGAGGCTTTTCTTTGGGAAGACTATGGTAAGCTGGAGGAAAGGAGAAACAAGACGGGAAGGAAAAAGAAAGAAGAGAGAAAGCGATAAAGCCAAGAGTGAAGCGGGAGGGAGAGGAAGGGAGGGAAAGTCTCCTTACAAATGGAATGTGTGTGGGCTATTTTGTTTAATCTGAATTAGGATGTTTGTACCCTGGAAATTGAATCTAATAAAGAACTTGGGACACTGTTTTATTTCTTCTTGCTGCAGACTTTTGTAAGTTGGAAAGCGTGTTACTCCCTCCTTCCTCACTCCCACTACTCTAGGGAATTGAGAATTGGAAAGTTGAGTTGGCCAGCCCAAATGCTCCGCTCAGGTCCCTCGGGGACCCACAAGAGAGGAAGCACTTAGAATTTTGCAGTGCTTCCCTTGTCTGGTGAGCTCTGCATCCTTTGAATCAAGAGCCATATCCACATGTTAGCTTCACCAAGTACTTGCTATTTTTTTTTAAAGCAGCTGTGTCTTAGTGGTTTTGAGAATTTCAAAGAAAGGGAAGGAGTGGACGAGTGGATTTGTGTTTACAGGTGGTGGAAAGACTGAATTCTAGGCAACTCCATTCAATTCAATTAAAATAATTGCTTATCTGTCTCAGGACTGGGGTAGGCAGGACAAGAGTGCCACCCAAAGGAGGTCTCACTGCCTAGAACACCAGACAGGTGATATATATGGTACAGAGATTCCAAGGGAAAGGTAAGGATAAGCCCGCCCAGATGATCAAATAGATTGCCGAATAGAAGACTGCAGGGGCTAAAAGTTGGAGAAGACATAATTGAAAAAATTTAACTAAGATCAGAAGTAGGCTGGGCAGAGGTGAGAGGTGGAAGGCCATCTGACTCCGATGGGACCTATCAGCCAAAGAATTCCTCTTCTAATTTACAAATTTGAAGTGATTCACTACTTAGTAAATATATTAAAAATCCCGTTCCCCCTAGTTTCTAGCTCTCATATTTTCATTTCTTAGTTCTGTTTTCAAAATTGCTTAAATAAATCTCTAGAAAAATTGCATTGTGTTGGGTCACATTTCAATCCCACTAGACATTACATGGGCTCCCAGTTTGGCTTTCCCATCTCTCTTGCATCTTCATTAACTTGATATCATCAATCTGCTTCCTGCTGCTCCCCTTTCTGGGAAAGCTTTGCCACAGAATGCCTTTCCTGTGTGTATCTCATCTCCCTGTCTCTAGTTTCACTTATGTCTTACACTTCTCAGTATGACTCGAAGGGCTTTGCACAATAATCAATAAATGCTGATTAATTGATTTATGCTTAGATATTTAAAAACATAATAACTATTTTCTCAGATATATTTTTCCAAATTCCTGTTTTCAAAAACAGATAATAGTGTGCACATATATATGTGTGAATGTGTGTGCCTTTGTATGTATATATACATATGCATATACCTATATGGAATTATAGAAAATTACAATATATTGAATTTAAAAATTAAAAGAAATTATAAAATTATATCTTAAGGTAGGATTAAATCATACTTATAAATGATCAAGGCTTTCGTCACTGGGAACTTTACCTTTCTTTGTAGGGGTTAATACATATTTTGAATTTAAATATTTTTAAAACCTCCTCTGGAATTTACAAATTAGTGGTGATAACCACCACTACCAGTGCTGTGGTTGAAGTTAATTTTCATATGTGTTATGAATCTTAGGGCAATATTTATTGATCTTTATGTCAAATCAATGCACGTGTAAAGACTGAGAAAGCAGCTATTGCTGGAGAATTCAATTTAGAATAAGTGCTCATATTCTGAACGTCAACAAATCTAAACACAAATCAATATCAGGAAAGCTATTTTCTTAACCAGTTTTATCCTCACTGACATACCATTGAGTGAACAGAGGCTTACAGAAGATAAAAACTGGGGTCACAAACTAGTAATTATATGAGGTCACCTGATGGCAGAAGGCTCTAGACCTTACTTTTCTACTTTGAAACCTAATCTGATCAGAACTCTTTTAGAGTTTGGAAATACAAGTGAAAGTTAAGAGTACACTAAGAGGTTTGAGGCTGAACTGATTAAGAATCTGGGAAGTAGAGTCTATGAAATGAGGCGAGCATAATTGAGGTTACTGACCAAGAATCTCAAAAGGAGAAACAGATACTTTGTTCCAAAGTATTCCCTTTGGAGGTAATCTAATCTAGCAAGTGAAATCACGGTAGGTTCTAGAGTTAGACTGCTTCAAGTTCTGGGACCATGTGGTAGCTGTGTGATTTGGGAAGAATTATTTCATTTCTCTAAGTTTCAGTCTTCTCAGAAGGAAAATGGGGATGAAAATATTGCCTCTCTCTGAGGATTGTTGAGAAGATTGAATGAGACAAGCCTACAGAGCATTTAGCACAATGCCTGGATCAAAGAAAATACTTAATAGAAATGATTCATTCTTCTTCCCAGTAGTGGGAGAATTAGGATTAGATACACAATGGAAACATAGGGCAGGGCCTGTGTGTGGTGGACCCTATAGGAAGTGATGTAATTTGATGGCCATTGGAAGGGAATGGCTTCCCTTTTAGTGTTTGGCTAAAAATATTTCCATCCACTTTATTATTGTTCCTAGAATCCTGACCTTTAGAATATTTACTTTGGGTTAGCAATTATCTTGAAGATATCCCTATAAAATGGGTATACATTAAGACATCAGAACCCATTGTGGCATTAGCAAGAATTTGCTTTTCAAATTAGCTAGCTGTGAAAGAATTTTTTTCTTTTAACAAGAGAAGAAACATTTCACTAAGAGGTTGAGAATAAGAAGAGGGTCTAGAGTTCTGCTTCTGGTATATACCTGGGTTCTTTGACAATAAGATCGTGGATTCTCAAACCATACGATAAATAAGGTATTTCTACCTGGTGGTGGTGTCAGTTTTACTCAATAATAAATAATTTTAAAACTGTTGTATGTTAAAATATCATTTTTATAAGAAAAATACAAATGATGTCTTTTGAAAAGTTAAATATGAGGTTCCAAATAAATTTTAAGTGTGCTTTCATCCTTTCTGCTTGACTCTGAGGATTAAGGAGTAGGTGGTATTGTCTAGAGCTGCTTCTGCTTTTACAGAGATTTCAGGATGATTCAGATAGCTGCATTTTACTATGTATGTATTCAGGATAATGCACTCTAAGATAGTGACGCTAACTCACAGGACTAACCCATGTGGGCAGCTTAATCCAGTTCAATAATTTTTAAGTTCGTGCTGTGGACTGGACTCCAGGACTATGTTCTGCAGAGGCAAAAATTGTAGGACAGTTGTTTTTCTACTGAAAACCTGCAGTTCATGAATTTCTTGCACTTGTAACTAGGAACAGAAAATAAGCAGTTGGGTCCTCAATTCTAAATCGTTTCTTTTTAAGCCTGTTATATTATGTAGTCTCTTGAAATTACTGTATTAGTTGTTGCCGCTTCAACTTGAAAGCCCATGATTGCTTCTTCTGTGACCAAAATAAAGTCATATTTGTTCTCACAATGATGTGGGGCTTGAACTTCACCACAAACCAACCTTTTTTTCAGTTGTTGTTATTGTGTAATGTTCTTGTGTGAATGTTTTTTCACTTAAAATATAAAATAGGTGTTCCTATTTCCTGAGTAAGTCTGTGCCAGAAACTTGGTCCAAAGACATTTGGGCAACTGGAGCTTATGAAAAAAAATTCTGACTTTAGAATCCTGGTGAGGGACAGTTCTTAACACTATAGGAAACTTCTCAAATACTTCTTGGCCGACTTCAACACAAGTGAGACAGTAAGACTGCAGTGGAGGAGGGAGTACCAGGGTGGTGCCCTGGCAAGAAAATTCAATTTGTGGCACTCTCTGACTCAGAATAACCACCACTCGTGAGTGGTCACATTTTAGCTGTGTTGCTGGATCTCTTCCTTTGAAATGTGAGTTAATTATGTTCTAAGCTATTAGGCAATTCTAGAATTACTTGAGCAAGTTGATTTAGTTATTTTCCTTTGGCCAGTTTCTAAAAAGTTAAATCAGGTAGGTGGGGTCTAAAATCTCAGGACTATAGCAAATACATGATTGGTTGGTAATCAGCCCAAGAAGATATGTATTTCTTGTAACAGGACTGGGTCACTAGATACATTTGTGAGGAAGTATTCTTTTGTAAATAATAAAAATAAATGCATCAAGAGAAGGAGAGTCTATTATTTGGCTCTGAAATAATAACACTTAAATGGATTGTTTTACAAATTATGTGGCTATTTTTCATCCTCTCTACTGGGCCATAATATATACTGAAGCAGTCAATTAGTCATTTTTATTGCCTGCAAACGTCTGCCCCCATGTAATTCATTCATTGAAACAATTATGGAGTTACTTTTGTGCAGCAGGAAGTCTTCTAGTTCCTTGCAGATTCAGAGATGTTGAAGTGCTTGGCCCTATCCTCAAGAAAATTCACAAGGTACCTAAATATATGCATAAAGTGATGTTTCTAATTGCACCTGATGAGCCCTAGAATAGAGGATAAAGTCAACAGGAAGAAAAAGACAGGGTTTCAAGAGATGATGGCACTGGGATTTAGCCTTGCAGGAAGTGGGTAGAGGGTTTCAAAGATGGAGAAAAAGGGTAATGGGCATTCTAGACACAGGCAGCATGAAGTGGATGAATGGAATGGAATGGAAGTTAGGAAAGGCAAGTGAAGCTGTGACCAGATTTGAAAGGATCTTGGAAGGATGTCAAAGAATTTGGACTTCTTCTAAGCATAGAATATTTTCAAAGTTTTGAGTGACATATTCAAACGTGTTTTTTACTCTATTTTTATTTCCTTACTCTTGTTTGTTTCCTGAAGTAGCATGATTGATCTAACTTTGCAATATATTCGAGGAGATGAAATATATTAAAGCCATGAAGCACACTGTGAAACTTTCTCTCTTGAATTCTTATGCAATGCCTTCTTTAAGGAAACTTATTATTCTTTATTATCAATAAATACGATTACATGCACTACCAGGAGTAGTGGAAGGTTGGACATTTGTCTCTGACAAAACAGCATGAATAACCTAGAAGAATAAACTTTGGTGGTACTTTTAAAATTTGAAGAAGATGAAAATGAAGCCACTTATCATGATGCCTAAAAGAAGTTTTGGATACTCCAGTTGGACACCATATAATAGGTA